GGAGAGAACCTGAATGTGTCACCAGTGTCTTGATGATTAAGCTGAAGAGCAGCAGTGAAACACTGAGGAAGACCGCTGAGCATCGTTAACCTTTTCTCCATCTTGTTACTCTTTTCAGCACGCACACACACACATACACACACACACACACAAACAAACTCTTTCTTTTCTACCTTTTGCCGCTGCACTCTCCAGTGCACCTTCTGTGATACAAAAAGACTGAGGATAGAAGCGAGTTTGGAGGCATGAAGCCCAGCCAGGAGATGAGTTAGATACACAGTGCGAGGAGGTGCCGACGCAGCAGAATCCCAACACAAGTGTCTTGCATTATTTAGGAGACATAGTCATGGCAAAAGTTATAGATGAATTTTGGCCTACTTTGATTTTCCGGCTCTGGGTAATGGTTCTGCTGCGGGGGTGTTGTACGAGGGTATGAATTTATAATACCTCGCGGCCGTAAAGCAGACGTAAACACCTGTGCGTTCATCGCAGCTGACACTGAACGTTAAGATTTCCGTTGTACTTAATCATTCCCAACAAACATCTCCCTTCCCAATTTCTGCGCACGGCTGAGTATTTCCTGTAGATCGCCTCCAGATTTGAAACTAAACAAATCACTTGGTCGTGTAGACACACACACGCACACCACACGGACTCACACACACACAAACACACACAGTGACGAGTGATGAAGAATCTAAACAAAGGCCGCTGCTTCCTCTCATCCTGAAGACGTGTCATGCCTCCACGCCACTGTCTTTCTGCCCTTCTTCATAAACAGATATCCTCTGCTCACCCCCACCTCACCCCGTACACACACACACACACACACACACACACACACACTCTGTACGTGCAGAAGAGGAGAAAAAGAAACAATGGAGCTTCATAATGTTGCCTGTCTCTAATCAGCTTTGCCACATGGGTAAACACAGACAAAGAACTTGGCAGTGCGTCCTGAGGCTTTGCTATCAGCTGTTAGCATCTTAACTGGATGTCTACGCTGCTATGGCTCAACACAGGAAGACGAAGTAGCCAACGAGTAAAGCGTGGATGGCACTCTGCCTCTTCCAGTATTATTTTTACCTCACCCTGCTTATCCTCTTTTTGTTTTCGCTTTTTCCTTGTGTCTGTCTCTGCACATCCTCACCTTGTCTTCCTCGGGGGCAGTGAGAGGATCCGGGAGGAAATGACAGGGAACAGGACAATGGAGAGGTCGTGTCAGCTTCCTGCCATTGCCTGGAGTCTTCTTCCCCTTGCTGGTGCACTTAAGGCTGTATCACAAGCATCCAGGCTAGCAAAAAAAAAAAAAAAGCACAAATATTAATGGAAAAGCGAGCGAGAGAGGAAAAAGTCAGGGTTTAATTCAGCTCATGTAATTGAAACAGTCCCACCAGGCACAGAGTCCCTTTTAGTGGCAGCTATTTGGTGAGAGATTCCGATTACATTTATAAGCCCTAAAAAAATTCAAGTGTCACTTCCATCTTGAGCCATGTATCACAATTTCAAAAGACCCCGAGAAAGGAAACCGACGTACAACGCGGATAAAAATTGCAGACATACTAGACTGCACATTTATTTTTGTTTTCTAATCAATTCCTGCCCTGCAAGACAAGAATTTCATATCTCCTGCCGAGACACAGGAACCAACAGCAAATTGAAATTTATCTTCTGCGTAGCAGCAATATCTGTTCCTGTGTTATCTCCACCAGCCGTGTTCCTTAACCTTGTATTGGAGATAGCTCGGGAGAAGTGGGGGGTGGGGGGGGGGGGGGGGGGGGGGGGGGCTTAGGAGGAAAAAAAGAAAAAAAGAAGTTCAGTCAGGAATATCATCAGACGGCATCTGTGTGACAACAATAAGTCCATTTGTTCGTACATGTTGTTTTTCTATTTAGCCTCAGTCATTGCCACACACAGAAGGAGGAAGTATTCATTATGGTGTGCGGAGCTCGTGGCTCAAACAGAAATGACTCATGAAGAACCCAAAGATGGAACACCCTTAACACATCTGCACATGCTGGCAGAGGTCAAGGGCACTCACTGGGGCAAGGCATGATGAACTGAGATGAGTGTTCAGCATCTTCAGGGCTGTGTGGCCTTTCTGGACTGATTCGTCAGAGTCCAACTGTCTAATTAAATGATGCTTCTGTTGTCGGGACATGTCATCTCCTTGTCCGTCTCCGGCTAAAAACACATTAGAGCAAACAAGAGATTGCCTGCCTCCTGCTGGAAACGCCGCTTTCCCCTTTGAGACGACACACTCTAACTGCTGCCCTCTTTCCTCCGCTTTTCAGCCGTCCTCTCCTCCCCCTTCAAGTTGTCAGAAACGCCTGTGCTAATATTGTGTTAGTGACTCATCCATTAAACAAAACACAGTGTTTATACCACGGATCTCCTTCCTCTGTCAAAACTAAAAACTTTTTAGTGTGTCTTGTCACAGGCTGGGTAAAAGGAGAGATTCTTTTCTTACCATTTTACATTATATATTTTCTTTTCTTTTTCTAAGGGTGTGATAGATTAAAGGGGAGTGGGGGTGAGGGGAGGGTGTCTTTTACACAAGTCTGAGAAACTCACCCTCGGAGGTCTATCGGAGAAAGCAGCCAATTTGTTATCAACTGAGGTATGTCAGTCAGAGCGTATCGACCAAGCTTTCAGCTGCAGCTCCCTCCACAGCAAAACATGTTAATGTTATTGAGCAGCGAGGAGACGTGACCACAGTGAAGTGTGTGGGCGCTGCGCAGACCTGCCAGAGGCAAAGGTGCGTCTCTCTTTTGGTAGCTGGCGGTTTGGGCGACGAGCACCGATGCAGAGATGGCAGTGTGCTCAGCATGAGAATCAGAGGAGGGAGGGAGGGAGGGGAGCAAGGGGAGGGGGAGAAAAGGAAAAGGGAGGCAGAGGGGTCAAAGGGATTTACTGCCAGGAGCCTAGCATTTCAGGTAATGGATACGCTTGTATTGGTGTAAACCAAACCTGCTGTTTTTCTTCCAGCGTGCCAGAGGTGAACAAAACACCAAAGGTGTAACTGACAGAAAGTCTGAGGGGGATTAATGGAGAGCTAATATTTCAACACCTGAGGATAAACATTAGATCTCAGGTGCTCTCTCTCGCTCTCTCTCTCTCTCTCTCTCTCTCGGACACTCTCTCTCGTCTCATGCCTGAGTAGAAACTCAGACACACGGTAAGGTGGCAAAGAATAGAGACGGTGGTATAGGAGGCTTCAAACTACTTCTGCCACTTTCCAGAGGGATAAGAGCCTCCCAGTTGGTTGAGGGGAACCCATCACCCCAGCAGGAGGGGTTCCAGCACATTGCACCCGTCTGACTGAGGCATCCTAGTGCTGCGCTGATCCCAGGGGGCTCGAAGAGAGAACGAAGCGGGAGAGGACAGGGACTGATTGTTCCCTGCTCAGACTGTCCACAGATGGGACTTAGACACAGGATGCTGGGTGTTTGCTTTAGAAAGTCCCAGACGTTTCTTTGCAGTAGTGGTGTAGAGAAAGCTCAGGGGGATAGAGGAGAGGAGCATGCCAGTGGAGGCAACAGCAGGGAACGAGAAAGAGAGCGAGAGTGGGCAGAAGGACAGGAAAGAGGAAGGGAGATGGAAAGGAATAGAAAAGGAACCTTGCCTAATATGATGTCAGTGTGAATGTAGTGTCAGTGCCAAGAAGGGAAGACAGATGATACAGCCGTACAATGATAGGGTAGTTGGGTGAGAGTCCTCCCCTGTTCCTAAACAGAGACATATAGAGCCGGAGATAACAGCGAAGCGAGGGAGAATAAAGAGACTAAGTGAGGAAGGGAAAAAAGGAAAGGGATGAGATGCAGGAACCCGGGCTGCATCCATCATGTGGTTTGGTGCAGAAGCCATTTGTACCTATTGTTCTCCATAATTTGTTTTCTCAGAGAGTGCGAAGGGAGGGGTGACGGGAAGAGTCAAAGCTACAGAAGCCATTGATTTCTCTGCTAATTACATAAGTGAGACAGTATAATTAGACATAGCTAAAAAAAACAAAACAATGGGCCTAGAGTGAGATGCACAGACCAAGATAGACAGAGAGGCACTGCTGAAGCCCACTGATGTGAGGCGTCTTCTTTCACATCGTGTGAGAATATGTTAGCAGAGGTTTAGAAATATAAAGGACAAGGGAAAAGATGATGTAAAGATGGGTTTCAGGTTTTGTTTTTTCAAACCTTGTTTATTCTTTACCAAAATTTGAATTTGTTATTCAAAGTCACGAGTTTCTGGGTTCGGGAAGGCAGTGTTGAACATCGCGGTGCCTCGTCGGCTGTAAACAAGAACAAGAGTAGAGGAGATGAGTCGATGGAAGGGAGAGAAGATGAGAGGAAATGGGAGAAAAGCCCTCTTCACAGATTGCACTCTGAAGCACAGGGCGACGGCACCGGAATAGTCACCTCATTTAATACACCTCCTCAGAGGGAGGGCGGGAGAGGTAAAGGCAGATGCTGTAAAAAGAAGAGAAAAGGGCAAAAGGGAAGAGACGAGAGAGGAGACAGATTGCATCTCTGCCTCCTCACATCAAAGGCATTGTGGGTACTGAGAGCTGTTTGGTGTGGTGTGTGTTCTGTCTCTGTGAGGTCACATTTTGACCTGGCCTTGCTACTGCACACAGGTGGTAATAGGCATTGTTTCGACCCTCCTGAGGCACTCTGGCCTGGATCTCTGCAGCCCTCCGTCTGGAGACTTTACGGTAAATTTGTGAAATTACTCAAGAAGTCCGGCAACCTCACTCAGATGGATTATTGCTGAATTTTCTAATGCAGTTCTGCATCTGCTCCTGTTCACGTGAGGGCAGTGGGGTGGGAGGGTTAAAGACGTCAGCTGTCTTTTATAACTTTGATACAGGCAGAGATAAACAAGTCCTTAATGAAGCCACTCAATCACAGCCTGGTTAAAACGACAGCTTAAAGACCGAGGGGCAGTCCGGCCAGATTGAGGGTCTATTGAAGTCCGACCAAGGGGCTAATCTGAAGTGTGACGGCTCAGGCAGACCCTGGTCAAACTACCCTTCTTTCTCTACACAGTCCCCTGACAAACTATAGTGACCCAAGTCAACTCCCTGACTGAGCCATGGAGTTCTTTAAAAGCCAATTTAAACTCAGGCTTTTGTTTAACTCCCCAGCAACTCAGTGTGTGTGTGTGTGTGCGTGTGTGTTTGTCCTTTACTGGGCTAAAGTTCAGGTTTTGCGAGAACTGTCTCAGCATGTGATGTTTTGTTAGAAAGAACTGATTGTAACAGAGAACTGGCACAGACCAGTTTGGGTTTTTTTAAGACGTGGAGAAATCAATGGCCCGATTGAACCTCTTACAGCCATGACTGTTGCTGTAATGGTGTGGAAATGCACAGTGGTCATGTGGACCCTTCTTATACCTCCAGGCTCGGATCACAACTAAGCTCAGATTTATTTCTTTAAAGCTTCAATTTAAAAAAAAAAAAGAAGAAGAAGAAGAAAAGTGCTTCAAGGATTTCATCGGACTATCACATGGTGGTGTCAGGCCAGAAACCCTTACTTTTTTATGTGGAGGAACAAATGGAAACTTCTTTTCTGATGGATTTTTGCAGATGACCAGCGTAACACTGTGCTGCAGTTTCACCTCAACAAATAATGGCTCCTCTGTTCCCTCTCACCTCAGCCTACACCTCTCTGATCCCTGATAATGTGTTAACGAGCAACAGGTCCATGGAATACACATAACAGCAGTGTGTGTGTGTGTGTGTGTGAGCAGATGTGTGTGTCTGTGTGTTTTCTCACCAATTAATGAATTGCTTTACATGCCCACTGAGGCAACGGTGACCTGTCTCTAACAGGGCACTGCCCCCCCCCCGCCCCCTGTCTGTGCCATGGGCCTCTGTCACACTAACACATTAATGAGACCAGTCTAATTAGTGCCTGTGGTTCCATACAGGGGACCTGAGAAACCACAGCATCATCGTGAGCCGGTCTAATCAGAGGACCCTCGTGAATACTGAGGATTCTCTGCACCAACGACAGATTCACATATTGGAAAAATCTACAGTGACTCAATTTCACTTTGGCATCTTTTTTTTAAAAAAAACAAACCAAACAAAAACAAGGAGGTGAAGTGTTGGTCATAATCTTTTGGTTTTCTGATCATTACGGTAAAGCCCTTCTCTCTCGACCAGTTAACTGCCCTCCTGCCTTTTGCTGGAGGTCCAGGGGCAAATCAGTAAAAATGACATTTGCTCTGCCTCCCCCTCTCCTTCGCAGCAGATAATTCAATCTGTTCAATATCAAATAATCTGCCCCTGTTTTT